ACAGCTCCCCAAGTGATTGCAGGATATGAATGAAGACTTAAGGGGGAATTGCCTGCAAATTAAAGGACTTCTCAAGGGACTCTCGAAGTAAAGGAGGGAATGTGCGGATCAGGCTCCTCGGCAGGCCTCAGGGGCCCCTTTTGCAATGTCTGCCCGCCCTAAGTGAAGGCGGGCCTGATAAAATTAAGAGAGGCCCATTGTTGTCAATTTCGCATTTGGGGTTCAGGCAGTTGTGTCACATCAGTTGGTTGAAGGAACCCAGGCCGCAGCCAGCAACACTGTTTCGGCCTTCTAGGCCTTTCTTGGAAGCAGGCCCTGGGCCACACACACAAAAGGAGGCACGACAGGCAGTTTGGGGCTGCAACCGAACGGGGGCCAGGGCAGCAGGGCCTACCGGAAGCTTCTGGGCACAGGCCCAGCCCAGCCAGGCAGCCGATCAGGCCAGCCCCTTTCCATATAGGAAGGAGCTCGCTGCCTTGCCGATAATTCGGGCACTCGCCAGTTGTGCAGCAGCACTGCTTGAGCCTGCGCTCGCGTGCTGTGCGCTGTGCTGGGCAAGGTGTTTGCGCATCTGCAGTCGTGTAAGCAGGGCACTGCTGTGGGCAGCGCCATAGCCCAGCTTCCATAGCTGGCTGGGCTTGGTTGTGAAGCAAGAGGTAGTGGTCTTTGTGTATGAGGGAGAAGATTTGGGTGAAAGACAAGGAAGAGAGGGGGAGAGAGGGAGAGAGAGGGAGAGAGAGGGAGAGAGAGATGAGGGTGATGACGTGAGGGCACCTAGCAGGTCTTGGCGATAGTCTGCAAGAGGCAACATCTTCATGTACTTCGGGGCTGCTGCTGACGTCAACAGTTGCATTGTCAATTCGTAGGCTGTAAGTAGCTGTGTGTTAGTAGTCTGGGCGCTTAGCGCCAAGTAGGGGAAGGGCCTTGTATACTTCTGTTCGTGATGACGAGAGTATGCTCTCATTGACACTTGGATTCAGTGCTCTGGTTCTCAATTGGTGTATTATTGGTGCAATTCTGCTTTATGGACAGTGTGATACTTTCTGGCTTTCAATGTGATTTTGTAATCTGGAAATCTGTCATTTCGCAATTGCTCAATTTTCCTTGCACCTGCCTTGAGGAGCACAAAAGGGAAGAGCTTGGGCAAGGAAGTGGAAGCATGTGGCAGTACTCGATCAGAGTATGCAGCCAACAAGCGTCCTCCAAGAGGTAGGCAGCTCGTAGCTGCCTGAACTGTGCCCGCCATTGCCAGAGGCATCACGGCGCAGTGGAACTGGGTGATGGGAAGCGCAGTGGGGACAAACGAATACTTCCGCGGCTCTGGTCAAGGAGCACCTCATGTGACCAAACCTTTCAGCGGCATCTAGCAAGAGGAGAGCTGAAGAGGATAGTGAGAGAGTAGGCTAGAGTGTTTAGGGTGAGTAGGAGAGTAGCATAGGCAAACAAATCATACTACATCAAAGTATATTGATTGTTGGATGTGCAAAAAGGGTTGTCATTGTCACGAGATCTGGTGCGCTTTCGGCCTTGTCATTATGCTTTCAACTCGGCATAATAGTCATGATTGGTCTTCTTTGAGATTTTGCATCTCGAAATTTGTGTCTTCATTGGATGCATTATGATATCAGATGGGTTCTCTTTCACTAGCCATTTGGCGGTGAGATAGGTCTCATGGTGCCAGTGAGTGTAAGTAGGCAGTGTTGCTGACGATTTCGCCGTCTGGGCTACTCATGTGCTAGATAGAGGCCCAGTACCCCCTCCCAGCTAGAATACGCTGGGGCCCCTCGAGGCCAGCCGAGCCAGTGCACTGCCCAATTCAACCGGGAGGCGGGTGGGGCCAGCCGAGCCAGTGCACTGCCCAGTTCAACTGGGGGGCTCCCGGGCAAGCGCCACCGGTTGAATCAGGACCAGCACTGTTTAAGATGCAATTTCACACCAGCACGACCTCCACAACGTGACGCAAAAATTAGCATAGGAAAAAGAGGCTCGGACACTGGTGGTTTCAGCTGCCAGGCTGCCAGTGAAGAGGAGAGGCTTGCAGGGGAGAGTGGAAACATGCCTCGCACATAGCTGGGACTCTTACCTGAGCGCCATTGCTGGGCCTTCGACCTGCACCCTGTACCACATCAGTGGCTGAAGGCATCACCTTTCACCAGACAGTATATACTATATATCAAAGAGAGAGAAAAAGAAAAGTTATTCTTCTTCTTCCATCTCCATTTTAAATTCTTCTCAGTTTCATCAAGAGAAGGATATTGGAGCCAGACCTCATACTTTAGGAGCTTTGCTCACGAGACAGAGATCTAAGGCATTGTTTTTCGAGGCAATCAAGGGGAGGAGATTGGCCGTAGGAGGGATAATTATTTTGTATGGTGATGTGGTGAGATTATTTCTAATCATGATTCACCTCCCTGTCATGCTGTGCATTGATTCTCTGCCCACATTGTCCCTGATGTGCATGTATCTGACTAGCTGAGTGTGATTAACTCCTTCGCTGTTTGTCATTCTCATGCACCACTTGCTGTTTGACACACCGAGTCACGTAATTGGACAAGTTACAGGGGTTCTGCAACGCTGCAGTGCAGGGCTAATTGGCTCTGGAAATGTGGGATAGCCATTTCAGCTGTGCTCTTTGAAAAAAGGGCAATGAGTCCATGCTCAGGCACTGGACTTCTCTAACCTTCATATCAGGCCATTTGCAGCTGGCCCATCGAATATCTTTCACTGATAAAAGAGATTGACAATCTAAGGGTTGAGGTAACACTGGAAAGGAGGCCTGCACATTAACTGCCTATCTGCCTATTCAGG